TACCTTTAATCCCAGTACTTAGGAGACAGAGGCAGATGGATCTCTCTAAGTTCAAAGCCACCCTGGGCTACACGAGCTTGAATCTATCTAAAAGAGAAACAGAGCTCACACAAAGGTGATCCCAGCACTTGGGATCACATACCTTTAATCCCAGCACTAGGGAGATGGAGACAGGAGTGTTACGGCTGGGCAGAGAGGGGAATATAAGGTGGGAGGAGACAAGAGAGACGAAGTCTGAGGATGCAGTCTGAGGACAGGATCACCCCTTTGGTCTGAGCATTTGTAGAGGTAAGAACTCTAGTGGCTGGCTGCTCTGCCTCTCTGATCCTTCAACTTTCACCCACCAATAACTGACTGAGTTTTTATTAGACCAATTAGAATTCATGCTACACTGAGGGTCACCACAACAGGAGGAACTGTGTTAAAGTGTCAAAGAGTTAAAGAAGATTGAGAACCACTGTTTTATAGTATAAAATGCTTAGACAAGATTTAAAAACAAACAAAAAGCACATTTATCAAATTTAGTGTATATATACCTGTTTTGTTTTGTTTTTAGAGACAGGGTTTTTCTGTGTAACAGTTCTAGCTGTCCTGGAACTCACTCTGTAGACCAGGCTGGCCTCAAACTCAGAGATCCATTTGATTGCCTCCAGAGTGCTGGAATTAATGGTGTGCACCACCACTGCCTGGCTTCATTTTTGTATTTAATTAATGGTAAATTATACTTATGTTAAGAAATCATTTTAAAATAAAATTTCTTTATGACTTACTATCAGAACAGAATAGCCATTTGCAACAAAACAGTTTTCTAAAGTTCATAGAGAAAGATGTACAGGAATTGGTAATATAACTCAAAGATAGATTGCATGCTGTCATGCTTCAGGCCTTGTATCTTCAACAATGCAATACATACCAAGAAACAAAAGCAAGAGTGCAAAGAGAAGAGAGAGAAATGGCTGTAACTTCTTAGTACCATTTTATTTGTCTATTTACTTATCTTAATATATAATGAATGGAACCTAGGTCCTGGTGCATGCTAGGCAAGTAATGGGCCAATGAGCTACACTTCCATTGTCTCAATAGCTGTTTTCTTTGATTGAAAAATAGATTTTCCATTCAATATAGCTTCATTACCATTGCCCCTCGCTCCACTTCTCCCTGTACCTCCCTACTTCTCTTCCCATCTAGATCCACCCCCTTTTTGCCTCTCATTAGAAAACAAGTAGGTGGGGGCTAGGGTGATGGCTCAGTGGTTAAGAGTACTAGCTGTTTTTCCAGGGGACCTGGGTTCAATTTCCAGCATCCACATGGCAGCTCACAACTGCCTTGTAATTCCAGCTCCAAGGGATCTGACACCCTCACACAAATAGACATAACACAAAAGTACAGTAAAAATAGTGATTTTTATGTTTTCTCAAAATAGAAAACAAACAGGCATCTAAGAGGGAAAAAGATAAAGTAAAACCAGACACTATGGAGCAGGACAAAACAAACAGTAGGAAAAAAGTCCAAAAACGGTACAAGAAACATATAGATGCAGAAACCCACTTGTTTGAACACTTAGAAATCCCATAAAAACACAAATTTGGAAGTTGTAACAGATACATAGGACCTGAAGGGTAAAAACGAGAAAAAATTAGAAAAAGAAGAAAAGAAAAAGCATATACAGGACATTATGTAGCAAGGAACCTTGAAAGATGTCACTGAGTATGTTTCTGTTGGCCATCTACTGCTGGGCCTGTGATTTACCCCTAAGAGAAGTTCGTTTCCCCACCTGGTGAGTAAAGTCTTTAATAAGTACCTTGGTGATTCCCATGCAGTTAGTCTCTGGCACCATCGGACCATGGCCTGAATAAACTTAGTAATAAAAAAGTGGCACTTATTAAAAATACAAATTTCAGGTCCCACAAGAGACAGGAATCTCCAAGGGGGAGTCTGAGAACTTGATTTTTTAACAAGGGCCCCTGGTGATTCTCATGGAAACCTGTGCCATGGCTATGGTGACTTCTACTTTGTATTTTCTATTCTGACTGTAAAGACAAAATAGCTTACTTAGAGTAAAGGCAGTTTTATTGGAAAGAAACTGGCTATCCGGCAGAAGGGTAATACATTTTTGTTTTTCTCGGAGTTTTTGGTGTTTCAGACCTATAAATCCAACTGTTTACAGTTCCCTTTGAAGTCATGAAAACATCCTAACCTCTTTGTTCAAGTCAAAATCACCATTTTCCTCTAACCTTGGCTCTTTTCCAGTGTCCTCCATATCTCAATGGTGGCATTGGTAGTGATCTAATGGACCACCAGAAATCTCCAGATATTTTTAATTTCTCTTTCTTTAAGTCTTGATCCCAATCTGTCATCAGGACCTTTCATTTACTTTCTAATTTGTTCCATTTGCCCTACTTATTTCCATTTCCTTGTTCTTATCTCATTTCACGTGGACTGTGTCCAACTTCACCCATCACTTGTATATTCTAATTTGTCCAGTATTGACCATGCTTGTGCTCCCACACTGTAGCTGGGATGATCTTGTTTTGCTCCTATCAAATCTTCTGTTTTCTCAAGAAAAGGATTAACTTTTACTTTTTAAAAGACAAGGCCAGAAAAAAGATATTTTAGTGTGGTGCCCAGTTTCACACTGTATCACTGTCTCCCTGTAGTCTGTGATCCAGTCACAATGGCCTCTTTTTAGTCTCTTAGGCTTGCAATGCCTGCTTCTAACAAAAGGCCTTTACATGCCATTCCTTGTGCTTTTCCGCAGTTATGCTTCTTATTCTTCGTATCTGAGTGTGACTTCCTTAAGGAAGCTTTCTCTAACACACCTGACCAGATTGATGAATGCCCCTCTTGTGTTCATAACACTTAAGAAAACTGAACTTTTTTGCTGAATTAAACCACTTTATGATTCCATCAGCTTGCATAGTTTGTTTCCTCTCTCAAAATATTCTCTGGATTTCACTTCCATAGATGCAGTCCTGTAAATTTCAGACTTAGTAAGAAGCCATTCTTAAGATCTGGATTTGCTAAAGCAGCTGTTTGCCTGGCTTTTTGACACCATCCCTGGCTGCTGTGCTACGTGCTAACACCTTGAACACAGGTTTATACAACAACACTTGCAGTTTTTCTCCCAATCCTGTCAGATGCTTTATTACAGCTATTTTATGTTTCCTTATACTTAACATAGGGTCTTGTTCACAGTCTGTAGTTTGGCAATATATCCCATGTTGAGTTCTCTGCTTACCTTCCCTCACTGTCCCTTGACAAACTCCCTTTCCACTCCCCTTTTCATTTCTTTCGTGGTACTGAGGACTGAGCCTAGGGCCTTGTACACACTAGATAAGTGTACTACCACTGAGATATAGCCTCAGTGCAGATATTACCTCTCCATATACAAGACAAATAGGTATAGTGCTGTCTTTAACAGGGTATATATCTTCCTACTTTGTTTCCTCAATTGAAAAATGATACCTACCTTGAAAGATTTGGGGGATGACTTTTAGAGTTTACGTTTTCCTTTTAAATGTGGCTAGGTTAAATCCTTTTCTAACATAATTCCCCTAGGACATTTCCTCTCAAGATCAGATTTTTAGGCTCTCCTGTATCCAGCTAGCTCGTCTCTGTCTTGCTGTCCTGTTTTATTTGGAAACTCCCTTTACGACAGACCTTGAGGGCTCAATGAAAAAACCAGAGGACAAAGTATTAGCAAGAGTCAAACATGTTCTTTCCTGTTCTCTTGAGGAAGGATGTGTGTGGGACGACAAGACGCAGCTGCATAGCCGCACAAGATTTAAATACTTAGAAACTGGGAAATAAAATAAAATTTCCAAATCAAAACTGGTGAGGGTGTTCATTTCCTTCCAAATTTGTGAGGTGACTCACACTGCACACTAAAGCTCTCTCTTCCAATTCTTTTTATAGAAATGTAACTGAAGATTTCAGCATTTAGAGAACCATTTTACAAACTAGATATACTACATCTATGTTGTCTTCTCCTTCTTTGTCCATGTCATCATTGTAAACATAGATATTATACTTGTTATCCTTTGAAAATCAGAAAGTATTAGTAATTAACGTCGAACCCATAAAAATGATTGCACATAGGATAAAATATAAAATTTGTTGATGTTTCCCTTCTTATGCATTCACATTTCTAGTTTTTTTTCCCTCCTCATTCACGTGTTGTTTATTATTGATACTCGCAGTTGACTAGGATACTTAACATTTCAAATCTTAGGGAAATACAGCGTGATGGTTTTATGCAGGCCCAGTTAGTCAGAGCTTTTGGAAGTGTTCTTGAAGTTAAATTGTGTGTAAAGATGGAAAGCTCAGCCTCTGTTGCTACCCACAGATTTGAAAAGAACATCCTTAGCATTTGAAGCTCATCTCACTCTGGTGAGGTAAACCCCCCAGTCATCAAAGGACCCTTTTTGACGTCTGTGAGCAACGAAAGCCTCAAGCCCTCATAGGGTCTATGTCTCCACTAGCTTGCTTGGGATTGGGCTGAGCTATGTAGCATAAACCTTTTTTTGCTGCGTCCTGGATGACAGCTGATCTGGGACCTCAGGTACCTGCTCTTTTTTTTCAGACACCCTAGTCTAGACCCTCCCCTTTGTCCTCTCCACTCTTCGCTCTCGCTCAGAAAGTCTGGGACAATCGGGATCAGTGTCTTTCCCAGGCGAGACCTGGGGGAGGGGGCACGCTGTTCAAAGGAAAAGGACGCAAAGGAAGAATAAGAATCAAATACTAGCCATCGGAACAGCCATAGCCTGCAGTGACCTAAAGACCGACATCCTACGCTGGCTGCGGAGGATACGCAGCCTGAGCACTCCGGCCAAACGCGTCGCTGTCACACACCAACGGCTGGGCGGGCCGGATCACGTGACGGGGGAGCGGCGCGCGCCGGCCTCGGCGCCCATTGGCTGGCGGCGGGAGCGCGGGGTTTGATGGGAAGGCATTGGCCGGGCCCATCGCTCTGTCAGTAGCTGCTGCTGCCTGCTCCAGGGGCGGGGTACGCGGTGGCGACCCAGGCTTGCCGGAGCGGACGCCGGGTCCGGGCGGCTCCTGCTTTCCTCAGGTAGGACAGTGAGGGAGAGGGCCGAGTAGATGGAAACTCTCTGGGCCGCGGGAAGCAGCCCCGGGTTCCTCTGCGCGCCGGCCCGAGTGTCTCCGCCCATGCCAAGTGGCCTAGGGCTCGGCGGCGGCTGGGGACACGCGGCGGGACTGAGCCCCCGTACACGGGTGCCCCCTTCTCGGATGGATTGCCCAGCACAGCTGCCCGAGAGTCTCCGAAGTGCACGAGACCCGGCTCTGCCTCCCCCAGGCCGGGGTTCTCTCGGCTGTGTTCTCAGGGATTCCGTGCAGTGGTTGTTAGGAGCCCAAAGCCTTGGCCCCACCTGTGATGAGAAGTGCCTGAAGGTCCTAGGAAACACATCCCTAGTTGAAATGGTCACCTTCAGTGCTCTGATCTCCCCCGCGACAACTCTAGCTGGCAAGATGGGAAGGACTGAAAACTGTCAGTGTCATGCTGCTCAGTCCGCGTGTGGGCGTGGACTGTGAGCGACTTAAGAGGAGCAGCTCCACGACCATTGTCCTTATTTGTTAGAGGGACAGCTGCCGGTCTGAGGGGTGGAGGGGAAGGATGAAGGTGAGTGGTGTTAGGGACTGCCAGGGCAAAGCGACTCCAGACACATCAGTAGGTTTAATCCTTAATGATGAGTTTTTGGACGGAGAGTTTGGGTTGCTTAATTTAAGTTTTGTGTGCAGTTGTGAGCAACACCTGTGACTCACTGAGTTTTCCATGTTCTTCCTTTTTGGCTTCTGGTTTGTTGTGCTTAGAATCTATTGGTTTTTTTTTGTCTCAGTGACCTCGATGTCAGCGTAGACAAAATTGCCTAGAGGTGTAATGGATTGTGAGTAAAGTTAGTTTCAGGCATATGTTGAAGCAGGCAGGCAGGACTAACTCCTATTCCCTAAAGGTCTCCTTAGTGTCTTCTTAGGGAAACGGAGTTGATTTTGAATACATTTTCTTAAACAAGAGTGGCTCATTTAAACGTAGAGTTTTAAAAAAGTTCCTTGACATCTATTGTCAGCACAGTAGTGCTTTTAATAATGTATACAGTGTTTATGTGTTGGAAGAAAACAAGGAAGGACAGATGACTGTCCTATAGAAATCTTCTGTGTTCTCTCTCTCTCTCTCTCTTTTTATTTTTTTTGGTGGCAATCATCTCACACATCTGAAGAGGTGTGCTTCTTTTCATTTATTTTTGGCCAATAAACCTGTTTTAAGAAATTTCAGAATTGTCTATTTGGATATTCGAAAGCAATTTTGAACAAGTTACATTTAATCCTAAGTTTCGTAGTATCACATGGAAGTGCTGTTGAAGATGACTAGTTTATATTTAAGTTCAGAACTTAAGTTAAACCACAAAGCTCTCTTGCTGTTTGCAACGAAGGCCTACAAGTTTATTATAATGAGGAGTATTTTTCTTTATTTCCATGCTACAGTAAATGAGAAGAATATTTTCAGTAAAGATACAAACTTATTTGTATACATTTTAAGTTATGAAATAAGTGCTCATTTTATAAAAGTTAGGCATGTGCTTCATTTAAATATTACAAGTGATTTTTTTTTTTGGTAATAGCGTAGCAATGGCTACAATTTGTTAAGCACTATTCTGAATACTTAAGTGATAAATAATTTTGATTAACATATCATTCCATGGACTATAAATATTTTTGCTGCTTTATAAACCAAGGCTTAGAGAATTTAAGTAATTTACCTAAGATCATATAACTAGTATATGGTTGAGCCATGTTGTGAGGCATTATCCTATAGTTTTCATGTGAGTTGAAATGAGTTGAGAACTCAAGAAAGACAGTTAAGATTTTAAGTTCTGTCACTTAAACCTGAGTGTGGAGAACAATAGAAAATATCTTTTGGTAGGCATTGTTGCTTATTGAAAAACACACTTAGGGGCTTGGAGAGATGGCTCAGAGGGTGGGAGTACTCAGAGCACCCACATGGTGGTTCACAGCCATCTGTAACTCTAGTTCTAGGGTGTCTAACATCTTCTCTGACTTCTCTTTCTGGGCACAAGGCACACATATGGTGCACATATACACACAAGCAAAACACTCATACAAACAAAATTAAATCAATCTTCAAAAAATAAAACACATTTAGATGCCCCAGTCCTTAAGGTTGTACATGCTAAGTCCCATTGCGATATCAGAATTGGAAAGAGATGTACAGATTGGGGACAAGCCGCTTCAGGTCCAGTTATTGGCATGTGGGTGATTTATGCTTTGCTAGAGATGGATTAGAAAACAGCAATGACTACGGTAAGAGAAACACTTTCTTCTGAGTAATTACCATGTTATCAGGCACTGGGATAAATAGTCTAGGACATTTTATTTAAGCCTTTCACTGTTTAAGAGGATTCTAAGTATCCCTCTTTTGCAGATGTGGAAGTTGAGAAGTAGGGATGTTTAGGTAAATTGCTCATTGTTTCACAGTAAATGATGGGCAATCAGAATTGGAGTTAAGATGTTTAGATGGAAAGGACAGAAGCACTGGATGGGATAGAAAAGTGAACTTAATACTGTTGAAAATATTAATTAATTTGTGTTTCATATCTGTTAAAAACTATCATGTGCATATCATTTATAGTAAATCAGCTTAATAATACTAGAATTTGATAGAAAAAATTCTGACTCAGTAAGAATTGATTCTTTGGGTAGGAGAGAAAAGCATGTGGGACTAGGAAGATTGAGTAAGGGGAGGAATAGACAAGAGGAGAGAGAGAGACAGAGAGAGAGAGAAAGAGGAGAGAGAGAACATGAAAGAGGGAGCCATTATAGGTTTGGAGAGAAAACAGAACCTAGAGAAAAGTCCGGAGACCTACAAGACTGACCCCAACTAACAATTTGAGCAACAGTGGAAAGGCTACCATAAATGCCCTTTCCTGATAATGACATCAATGACTAACTTATCCACCATCATGGAGCCCTCATCTAGTAGCTGATGGAAACAAAAGCAAACACCCACAACTAAACATTGAGCCGAACTGGAATCCAGATGCAAGAGAGGGAGGACAAGACCAGGCTGCAGAAACAGCTGACCTGAACAAGGAGTAGCTAATGGACCCCCAGACTGATAGCTGGGAATCCAGCATGGGACTGACTCAGACCCCCCTTGAACATGGGTCTCAGCTAGAAGGCCTGAGCTGTCTAAGGGACCTCTGACAGTGGAACCAGGATGTATTCCTGGTGCACAAAAGGATTTTGGGGGCACATTCCCCATGGAGGGATACTCCCTTAACCTAGGGACAGGAGAGAAGTCCTAGTCCCTATTCCAAATGACTTGACAAATGTAGATGACTCCTCCTGGAGGGCATCACCTTACATGTGGAGTGGGGGTGGGTGGGTGGGAGGGGAGGGTGGTGGTGGGGCATTAGAGGGTGGGAGAGAGGGAAAGAGGGAGGGAGAGGGAACTGGGATCGATATGTTAAAAAAAAAAGAATGCTTAATGGATATAAAAGCATGGATTTAATGACTATCACTATATTCCAGAGGATAAATTTAAAAACACATAAAACATCTTCAAACAAATAATTGATATAAAAATAAGTATTTATTATAAATTATGAGTATAGTTTGTATACTCATTCAAAAGGTAATAAATATACAGTAACAATTGTTTTAGGCCAGTTGCTCTAAAAGTTCTAACTGGAGTCCTATTAATTTAACAAGCCATTTAACTTCTCTCTAATGCAGATTTTAGCACTCAGATTTAATCCAATAAAGGAATTGGGCTACCCGATACATTGCCATAATACTGCTTGTTGTGTTGATAACTCATTTTCAGTTTTAGCAGCTCTGCTTATCAACTATTTAAGAAGGTCAAAGATACTTTCATATATTTTATTTCTCTCTGTTTTTATTTTTTATGGTGCTGAGAATTGAGCCCACGATTCCACACATACTAGGCAATTGCTCTATTTCTGAACTGTATCCTCAGAAGTCTATATCTTATACATAGATATTCCAGTCTATATAGATATATTCCAGCCTACAATGTATACGTATTCTGCACTTCTGATTTTATGCTGTTGGGAATAACTGGTTGCATTAAAAAAAAAATCAAAATTAAAAATGCAGTGTTTTATTTTGCTGCTTAATATCTTTGGAGCTTAACATATTATTTCTTTAGCCTCAGGGTCTTAATTTGTGAAGTGGGGGAATAGTATCTAAATGAAAAAATTCTTGCAAACCATCTGTTTTAAGGCCTCTTAGAGATCTAGTGCTAAGTGTGTAACTGATGTTGTCATTAATTTCAAACAGTAAAAGGCCATCTGTGCCAGGCAGGGCATGATGGTACAAGTTTGTAATGCCAGTACTCAGGAGGCTGAGGCAGGAAGGTAGGAGTTGAGGGTAGGCTAGACTATCTAGGGAGACTCTGTCTATGGCTACAAACTTGACATGGAAGGATATAGTTCTTTAGATACCATACATTAGTTTCAAAATAGTGGGGTGATGTGTAATTTGAGGATGTCAAATTAAGTAGTTGATCTGAATAGCTTTCCATCTGCCTTAGGGATTATTTTTAGATTAAGGTTTTAAGGTTTGTTTAATGTCTTGCTCAGAAATGTATTCTTTTTGTTCATTAGAGCTCCAGAATACCTCATAATCACATTTTATAAGTTTGAACACTGAGCTAATATTGCAGGATTAATATTATTTAGTTTGAACTTAATTGTTGTTTACAAAATTATGTTTGTCTGCTTCAGAATGTTGTAGAACAGTTAATATTTTTGTCCTGAAGAGTCACTTTGTAAATGAAAGTACTTTATAATTAGGCGTCCATTACTTTTCCAAGAAAAGAAACTCTTAAAATAGGTATGCCTTGAGCCAATTCTGACATATAAATAGTGTTGAAGTTCTTACAGGGTGTTGATTATTATTTTTTATGGTTAAGTTGTGGGGGATATACTTATAAAAAAAAGTGTGTATACACTTGTGTGTAAATGAAGTAGTTTTACACACTGATAAGCATATACTTTTACCCGATAAAAACATTCAATTTGAAGGTACAATTTTACCATTTCAACTTAAAAGAGTAAGAAATTCTGTAGCATTTATCTGTTAAACTGATTTATGATATTATCATTTCTGAGTCTTTATACAACATTTGAGAATCATAAAGAAACAAAGGGAATACACAGCTATCTGAAATGGAGGTCATCTAGCTCAAGCGTTTTAGACTTTTAGTAGTACATGCTTAACTGGGTATTAAACAGCAGTGGTTTTAGAAACAGGAGCCAGAAGTTTGAAGATTGAAGGACTTTAGGGTATGTTTCTTATGTGCTACTGGACAAATCACTAACTGTTGTCATTGAGTTTTCTTATCTCCAAGGTGATTGCACTAAAGGCTGTTGTGTGACAAACTATTGACATTATTCACTTTAATTAACAAAGTAATTAAGACTCAAACTATTGAAGGATTCATTATTTTATAACAAGAATAACACAGGGAAACTACTTTAAAAATAGAACGCCTGTAGATACGTCTATACTTCTAAAATGATTTGTCATTAAAAATTTCCAACACTATTTTTACCTTTAAATCTGATCTCACTTTGAATATACCAGTGGCTATCTGGATTAAAGTTTCGTTTAAGTGGAGGCCAACAAATACTTTATGGTATTTTAATATAGTATTGAAACATAAAAATTATAAGACAATGTGCTGTGTATTTAACTGAAAAATTTAAAATATTTGCTTTGTTTCTAGCTGTTTCTTTTGGACAATCCATGATATTTACTACTGTGCCAAGTTTCTACAAATAAAAGATGGGTGGATTATTTTCTCGATGGAGGGTAAGAAAACATATTTCTGTACTGCAAGTTTTCAAGTCTAACATAAAAATGTTACATAAAGGTTTTTGCAAAGGTCTCCTTTGGGGTTTACTTTTTGGTAAGTTTGATATTATATATTTAATTTCATTTAACTCCATGTAGAGTTACTTCTTTGGACATTATTTTGGTAGTTCTATTTATTTTATGGATATCTAATGTCTTTAGTAGTTCATTTTTATGTATTTTATGCAGATAGTTTTTTTCTCATATTGCCCAAGTTCCATGCATATTCTAAAAGTAGCTGAATTTAAAAGCTTTATACCATACGTATGGTTTTTATAGACTAATCTATTTAAACTTTTTACTTATTTATCTGCTTATTTATTTATTTTGGAGACAGACTTTTTACTGTGCAGCCTTGAACTCACAGGAGTTTGCCCTGCCTCTGCTTCCCTAGTGCTGGGACTCAAGGAATTGAATTTTTTTTTAGCATGTCACATAAACTTACTGATGTTACACTAAATACACTTTTAGGAGTTATAGTTTGAACAAAATTAAAAATGAAGATCTTATTAAGTCTTTAGAGAAAGTATCTTAAATTTAGAGATATAAAATATAAACTATATTGATAAATACTTTTAAATGGAAGAAGAAATAATATAGGTCAGGATAACCTAAGTTACTTATTAATTATTCTAATAATAGAGACTTGTGATATATGATTTAGCTTTTGACTTGTTAGATTAATCCATGTTTTAGATTTGTGTTATGTTGCCTTCCTCTTTAAAAAAAAACCCATAGGTAAAATTGCATGCATTTATTATGTGCAACATGTTGTTTTAAAGTGTGTACATTACATTGTTTAGATCTAGCTAATTAACATATGCATTAACTCACATTGTAAATGGAGTTCTTAATTGGTCTAATTAATAAAAACCGGGAGTCAGATAAAGATGAAAATGCTGAGAGATGAGAGAGAAGGAGCAAACCACTGCCACACCCTACCTCCTTTGTGTCTCAGCAGATAAAAGCACAAGTTCCCGTTTCCCCCACTTAGCTTACTTCCTGTCTGTCTGTACAGACCTCCAGAGCTCTATGTTTAGCTAGTGGCAAGCACCATTCTCTGACCTTCAGACAGGCTTTATTTGTACAAGCAAGATATCACCACATCACATAATTATACTTTTTGTGGTGAAAAACTTAACATTCCCTCTATTAGCTTTTTTCAAGAATATAGTATATCAGGACCAGAGAGACGGTTAAGAGCACCTGTTGCTCTTGCAAAGAGTCTGAGTTCAGTTCCTAGTACCCCAGTCAAGTCATTCACAAACTACCTGGAATTCCAGTTTCAGGGATGTGTGTGGCACCTCTGGCTTCCCATGACACCTGTACTCAAGTGCATATGCACAGTCACACGTGTATGTGCACACTTAAAACTGAAATAAACTTTTTTGAAAAAAACTCAGTAAAAAATATAGCATCTCACTAAAGATGTAGTCACCATGCTGTATGGATCTGTAGAATTTATTCTATATGTAGTTTTATATCTTTTGACCCCTAATCTTTCAACTCTTTAATCCCCTACCTCCAATTTCCCTAGACCTTTTATTTTCTACTTCTGTGGGATCAACTTTTTTCATTTCATAGATGAATGAAATGACCTTTCTTTAAAAATCTGTGACAGACTGAGAATCTTATTATTCCTTTGTTTTTCTTATTTGGTTGACTTATATGAAGTTGCCAGCATTTTGCTTTAACATAAAAAAATTGGCAATTTTGTATGGTTCAACCTTATGTTAACAACTCTTGTAGATACTATAGCATTGGCATTTGTTACTGTCTTGATAAATATTTTCTCAGTTGTCATTTGAACCATTCTGGTTTAGATAAAAATACTTTTGGCAAATAATTTCTGTTACAAAGTATTCTTAGATATTCTTTAAAAATCTTTACAAAGCTGTGTACTTGAGGCTGAAGAGATGGCTCAGAGGTCACGAGCATTAATTGCTCTTCCAGAAGACCCTGGCTCAATTTCCAACACCCATATGGTGACTCAAAACTGTCTATAACTTTAATTTCAGGATATCCAGTGCCCTTTTCTGACCTCTGTGGGCACCAGAGATTCATGTGGTATGCAGACATACATTCTGGCACACACCTATACACATTTAAAACAAAACAAACCAACAACCCTCCCCGAACTGCATACTTTAGGAATTAGAATGAACGAAGCCTGTGGATTTTGACCTCCAGATTCAGTGTTGCAGTGTGGAATTACACAGAGCCCAAGGTGAACTTTAGCATTATTGAATTAGACTATCTTTAGTCAGTGAATATTTTGGTATGAAAATTTACTTCTTTGTATAAAAGTCTGTTCTGTTGAGGTTATTAATGGTAAAAGTAGAGCTATCACAATTGAAAGTTTCAGAAAAAGTGTTATTTTAAGAATCCTAGCTGGCCAGTGGTAGCAGACACTTAATTTCAGCAGAGGCAGGCAGATCTCTCTGAGTTTAAGGCTAGTCTGGTCTACAGAGCTTGTTTCAGGACAGCTATGTCTGTGACCTATGAATGTGGGTAACAGTTATGTCACTTGATCTGTTGGGTGGGGGGGCGGGCAGCTGGCACTAGAGCCTATACAAAGGAACCCTGTCTGGAAAAACCAAACCAAACCAAACCAAAACAAACAACAACAACAGACCCAAATCCTATGTAGTTTTAGTAATTACAATTTTTCAATTATAGTTAAAACAGGTAGACATATAGCTTGATAACACTGAGAAACCTAGCTGTTTTCTAAGTTTGTAGTAACAAATTTTAATGCATGTCTTATTTCTGTTTCTAAAACAGGCAAAACCTTCAACAGTAGAAGTTCTAGAAAATATAGACAAGGTATGTTCATTGACTCTAAAGTATTTTAATAATTTTATATTGGAGAAGAGATGTGGGAACTTAATATAGAAGAGTCCTGAGAACTTTAGTATTACATGATCTCAAAAAAAAAAAAAAAAAAAAAAAAAAAAAAAAAAGAAAAGAAAAAATCTGGTCTCAGTGCTTGCATCAAGTAATAGAATATCAAGTAATAGAGCCCGATAGAATGCAATTAAAGGAAACGTGATGTAAATCAATGTAACAGCATAATAAAGGTTGCATACTACTGTGTAACTTTTATCAGTCTGCAACAATTCTGTAGCTTTTACATTTTTCTCTTATTTAAATAGTGATTTTGCCTAGTAATATTGGGAGTAATGAATAGACTGAAATTATATAGTTTCAGTTACTGTTTTGTTTTGGTTTTTTTTTGCTTTTGTTTTTGATTTTGGAGACAGTCTCACTATATTATTCTGTCTGGCTTAGAACTGTCTGTTTAGACCAGGCTGGCCTCAAACTTGGAGAAATCTGCCTGCTTCTGCCTGCTGTGTACTAGGATTAAAGGCATTTACCACAGTACTTGGCACTTTAGTGTTACAATTTTTATTTTTTTTCTTGCCAGAATTTTAAAGGCCATAATTGGAGAATTATTATTTTTTGACTAAGTATTTGCTGATATTAGTTTTATTTCCTCTATTCTTACTAATTTGATAGATTAAAAATAATATGAAATGTTTCAGTTTAAAAAGTAATTTGTTAGGAAAGGCTTATTAGTTTCTAACTTCATTTTTAGCTTTGGAATTTGCTTTGGAATACATTTGCATTGAATTTCATTGAATTTTAGGAATCTTATGATTTTTCTGTCATGTTTTTCATTTTAATTTTTAAGTGATTTATAAGATTTAATATGGAATACCTCTCTCTTAACAGGAAATTGAAGCATTGGAAGAATTTAGAGAAAAAAATCAGAGATTGCAAAAATTATGGGTTGGAAGATTAATTATCTATTCTTCAGTTCTTTATCTGTTTACATGCCTAATTGTGTACTTGTGGTATCTTCCTGATGAATTTACAGCAAGACTTGCCATGACACTCCCATTTTTTGCTTTTCCTTTTATGTAAGTATTCTTTTTGCTGACCTTTTCCTTTTCTGACTAGATAATTTTAATATATTTTCTTTTTATTATAAAATATTGATGTCTAAGATTGAATAAGTTTGAGTTATTTTTGCAGTTTGATAACTATTCTTTTTAATTTGTAGTACAATTTTTGTTCTATAACCTAAAGGGATATCACCATTGTTACTGGTAATATTTTGTAGTTTTCTGATAGGTGTCTGTGGCTCCTTTAGGCCAGTGGTTCTCAACCCGTGTGTAGCATCAAATGACTCTTTCATAGGGATCACATACTGGATATCCTGCACATCAGACATTAACATTATGATTCATAACAGTAGCAAAATTACAGTTATAATGTAGCAATGAAAATAAGTTTACGGTTTGGGGGTCATTACAACATGAGGAATGGTGTTAAAGGGTCATAATTAGGAAGGTTGAGGCTTACTGTTGTAGGCATTGGGCATGGTGTATGGTTTATGGAGTATTGTGATGAGTGGGGAGGATTTGTAAAACTGAAATAATGTGTCTAAATGCCTCCAAGTATGTACTTTTCATCTTTACTCCCCTCTTTTTAATTATTGCTATAAGCCAGTCATTCCTTCTTAAGTATTTCATAATCTAGCACTTTATAGGAGGTATGTCTTAACTGAGGAAAAAAGTCTTTTAATTAGCAAACATTTTTGTGTTTGTGTAGACATTGGGTTATAATAGTATATAGTGAACAAAATTGAAAAAAAATCATTGCTATAAATTTTAGGCTATATATATTAAATAATAAATATGGTTAATGTTATGACAGAGAAATACAAAATGCTATGGGAACATTTAACAAGGGCCCTAACCCAGGCTCTGTGTGGGATCAGGGTTTTAGAAAGAGTCTTGTTCATGTTTTCCATTGTTCTCAAGCAGCTGAAAACAATACTCATTCATTATATCAGAGCTCAGAAATTCAAAAACTCAGGCAGATTAACTGGGTCCTTGCTTAGAATCTCATAGGCCTGAGGCTCCAGGGGTCAGACAGCATTCTATGAAGTCTCTGGTGGGAGAAACTACAGATTTAGGTTGTTGGTCGACTTCGGAACCCTTGATTTACCTGGGTAATCCATGATAATCTCCCACTTAAAATCAATAACTGTGGTTATGTCTGCACAGTCCTTTCACAGCACTTGTCTAGGTGAGACATGGCAGCAAAAGCAGTTGTAGCTGTGGCTGTAGGAGTGTGGTCACATTGCATCTGCAGTTGGGAGGCAGAGTGAGGTGAATGCTATTGCTACATTTGCATTTACCTTTTTATTAAGTCTGGGACCCAGCCCAGAGCATGGGTCTACCAACATGCAGTGTAGGTTTTCCCATTTTAGTTAAGCCTCTCAGACATGTCCAGATGCCTTTCTCCTAAGTGATTCTAAATCCAGCCAAATTGACAAGATTAACCACCACATCATTATAGCCACCGGGAGTGTGGCGCTAATAAATTAGAAGGAAGTAAGAGTGGATCTAGAGTAGGAAGCTAGAAGGATATTGCAGATGATAAAGAGAAATGATGAATGATTTATATTGGGTGGGTGGGAGAAGAACAGATGGATTGAACAAAATTGATGGATTAGAGATTTAGGAAGTAGAATTGAGAGACTTTTGGTGATTGGTTGATTATGGAGTAAAGAGGAGGAATCTCATTTCAAGGGTAAAATTCAGGTTTATAATTTGGGGGGTATTTGGTTGAGAGAATTAGCACATATCAGAATAGTGATCAACATGAGAGAAGCAGGTTTGGTGAACTGTTATATTTCCCAATTGGAGCTGTCAAATGGATGGTTAAGTATGAGAATGAAAACTAGAGAAAAATTCAGTAGAAGATAAAAATTTAGGATTTTGTAGTTTATAAATGTTAATTGAAGCCAGACCTGTAATCCCAGCTACTTGGGGGACTGAGGCAGCAGGATCACAAGTTCAAGGCCTGCCTCGATTGGAAGGGGAGTTGATCCAAGCTGTGCAACCTACTGAGACCCTGTCTCAGAAATAGAACATACAAAAGGTGGTGGGGAGCTATAGCTTATTGGTAGAACATTTGCTAGCATATATGAAGCTCAGCATTCACGTCTTAGGACCACCCCCCCCCCCCACACACAAATTTTCCAAAGCCATCATCTCTTCATAAGTATTAGGCATCTACAGTGTGTTAGGATGTAGTCGAGAGACCACAGTGATGGGAAAAGTAGTGGTAAGATTCTGCTTTTGTGGAATTTGAATTCATTTTTGATTGGCAGATGAAAAATAGAGACAACAAAGACATAATTTGAAGAGAAATATGTGCAATGAAGGAAGTCAAATGATGTGATTACAAATAGGTTTCTTGAGGAAGGTCCCAGGAGCCTTCATTTAGGAAGTAGTGTTTGAATTGAAGAACAAGTATGGAAAAAGTTGAAATTTGTGAAGACTATATGCAGCATATAGTGGTAATACACCTACAAAGTTACATATAAAGGATTATTTCCAAAATATTAGTGGTAATTCTAATGGTAGAATTTTAAGTAATTCTTTTATTCTATGTTTTCTGGTAGTGTTGAATTTTTTACATTATTGTATACTTTACATTCTAAAAACCTAACAAAATCCAGTAGTTGAGGAATGATGTTTCTAAAATAGAAAACAGAAAATATGTAGACTGTGAAATGAGTTTATACCTTATGTGAGGGGCAAAAATGATGGGTATGTTTGGAATGTGTGATGGAGAGAAAAATTCTGTGAAGTAAGCTTGGAGATTCAGACAAGATCCTGATCATGGAAGATCAAAGCTGGGGGTAAGTATTTCATAATAGGTGAAATGGGAAGCTTCTATAGTGGAAGAATAGCATGATAGAAATTACATTTAGAGCGTCAGATATATGTTGTATGAAAATTATATAAGAGGAGAGGACAAAAGTAAAATACCTAGGAAGCTGCTATACAATTTCTTTTACTTTATTTTGTTTTGAGACTGGGTCTCACTGTGTGGCAGTGGCTGTCCTGGATCTCACTGTGTACACCAGGCTGGCCTCAAATCCATAGAGACCTTGTTTTTGCCTCCTGAGTGCTGGGATTAAAGGTTTATAGCACCATGCTTGGTTTAGTAAATTTAATCTGAAGATAAAGATGAATTGGCCTGCACAGAAGTTAATAAACAACTTAGGAATGTTTTAGAAATTAAAGCTGATACAATATGATAGGAGAAAATTATATAAATATGTATGTATGTATGGTATTTAAGGTTTTGATTTAGTCTTTAGTGTGGGGCATGTTTCTAAATTTGAACTTCCAAACTCATAAAATGATCAACGTTGCATGTGCAGAGGCGAGCTCATTTATTTCTGTGTTTATCTGTGAGAACTGAAATTGAGCTCATGTATAACACTGCAGGTAAGTTTTGGGCCTCTTCATGTGCTAGGCTAGAGCTCTGTCTCTGAGCTGTATTGCCAGCCTTGCTTTAAGCTTATTTATTTCCCTTCTTTTTAGAAATCTTTTGGATTTTTAAAAAAATTCCAAAATATATGAATTTACAATGCTGAGCACTTTTACACTGTTTCCTTTCTATTTTTCATAAAAAGCAGGGAGAAAATAAAATTTAAAAATATGAGATACTTAGTTGACTTAAATATCTTCATAAAACTAGGGAAATACTTGACATTTAATTCTATAGAGCAGTTGATTTTCTGATTATAAAAGGTAATTTGTAAATGACTGTTAATTTCAGTTGCTGTCCCAAATTGTGCTTTGCTGGATCTGTTACTCAAGTCGTAACAATTACTTTTAAGACAAATAAATCACTTTATTATAATAGTTACAGTAATTATTATTGATGATCCTGGGAATGGAACCCAGTGTATCAGTGAGTTTCCATTGAGCTGTATTCTTAGTCTGAATCATTTTTAAAAATAGAAAACTTCATTAAATGTTCAAGTGTACTTAAGTGTCAAATTGATGTAACCTAGAGTCATTAGAAAAGGAAGTCTCACTTGAAGGGTTGTCTAAATCAGATTGGCCTGTGGGGGATTATCTTGATTGCTAGTTGATTAGGAAGTCCCAGCCCACTATGGTGGGGTGTGGGGTGTTATCCTTAGGCCAAGTGGTTCTGGGTTATATAAGAAAGCTGCTAAATGTGAGCCTGGGAGCTAGCCAGTAAACAGTTTTCCTCCTTCAAGTTCTTGACTTTCTGCAATGATGGATTGTAACATGTTAAGTATAAACCAAATAAAGCAGTTCTTGTCTTTATTTGCTTCCAGTTAGTGTTTTATCAGTCATAGAAAGGAAACTAGAACAGCCACATCTCTCTTCCTCGTCCCATTTATTTATTTATTCATTCTTTGTGTGTGTGTGTGTGTGTGTGTGTGTATGTGTGTGTGTGTGTGTGTGTGTGTGTGTGTGTGTGTGTGTGTACATGTATGTGTGCACGTGAGTTTAGGTCAATTGACTGCTTACTGGGTGGTAGTTCTCTTTTTCTACCAGGTGGGTCTTGGGGATTGAATGGTCTGCTGTAAGAGCCTTTGCTCACTTAGCTATCTTGCCTGGCTGTGAGGTATTACACCTTATTGTGTCCTCTGACTGATGTGTGTTGCTGTAGTTAGTGTTTTTTGATTTGATAAGTTGCAGAAACTTTTCTCACTTTGTCTCATTCACATTTGTTACCATTCTCTACTGTTGTGGATTCTATTTCAGTGAACCCTTCACTTTGGAAAGTATAGGCCAAGTTATCTAACAAAGAATAGATTGTCTTTCCAGTCAGTGACAACCAGCATGAAGCAAAATACAGGTGTGAAAGTGGATATTGTGGTAAATAAAGACTTATCACCACAGGGTATTTTATTTGTAGTGTGAGCCATTTCTTAAGCTTAGTTGGATTTTATTTTTCTTGGGGAACGGTCCTGAGGGCTGGACTAGGATTTACTTCAAGTATCGGAAACAGAAGTAAATGTATTGCTTTATTCATCATATTTTATATTGATTAGAAATTTTTATTTCTGCAGATATACAATACTTTTGGAATTGATTTTTCTGTTTTCTTTGAAATGGCATCTCATCACATAGTCCAGGGTAGCCTCCTCCTGAGTGCTGGGTGTGCTTTTACATGCCTATGTGGGTTGGTTATACAGACACACAGGCACATGTAGACATATATGCACATGCATACTAAACACTTTTGTTGTTTTTAGTGGTGCTAGGGATTGTATGTGTCAGGCAATCATTCTATCTGAGCTATGTGCTCAAACCCAAGGTTTTATTTTGAGACAGAATTTTGCTCAGTTGATCAGTCTGGCCTTGAAGTTACTTTGTAGATTGGACATTAAAGGCCTGGACTACCAGGCTTGCTCGTGTGTGTGTATGTGTGTGTGTGTGTGTGTGTGTGTGTGTGTGTGTGGGTGGGTGTGTGTTGAGTGTGCCCTCTACCCCCCCTTTAATTTTACGTGGGACTTAAGATCAAACCCAATACCTCATGCATTTTAGGTAAATAGTTTATAACTGAACTGCATTGAGCTCTAGTTCGTTCATTTTAAAGTGAACAACTTAGAGCTTATCCATACTGACACCTTCTCCAACAAGGCCAACCTAATCCCTTCCAAGTAGCTTTACCAACTAGGGACCAAGTATTCAAACATTTGAGCTATGGAGACCATTCTCATTCACACCCCCACACACACTTTTCATGCTTCCTAAGTGCTGGATGTCTCCTGTGTTTAGTTAGAAGTCTGGCAAACACAAGTCACTACTTTCTGAAGTAAATTCAGTCTATTGGCCAGCCTATTGCTGGCCTTCTCTTCCTTACTCCTTCCCTCCCTCCTTCCTTTCCTTTTCTCCACAAAAAACACACAGGTATAGAGGTCAGAGAGCAACTTGAAGAAATTGATTCTCTCCTTCTGCCATGTGGGAACCAGAGGGCTATACTCAAGTCCTTACACTTGATGGCAAATGCCTTCCCCATCTCAAGGGTTCTATAACAAGTTTGATTTTTTTTTTTGATGAGATGCTGTTTTTCAGTTTTCTTTTTATGAATCTTGTTTTTCTTGTCAAGTTTAAGAATTTCTTGCTTAATTATATGCCCCAGAGATTCAATGTCTTTCTAAGCCTTTTAAAAGAAATATGCTATACTTGGTTGCAATGTATTTTTAATTGATTTTTGTGTAGGGATGAGATGTTGGTTGAAGTCTTTCCAGCCCCCCAGATGCTGCCTGATGGGTGAATTTTTAGAAAAGAGCCATACCTTTAAAAAACATTTTAATAGATCTTTTAAAAGATATACAATATGTACACATGTAAGGAAACATTATCTTATACAATTAATTTGTGGTAATAAAATTAAAAAGATAAGTGACTTTCTCTAGTGTTTCTTTTTGTGGTATTAACATGCACTTTTTATTTTATTTGTCCCTGGTACAGAAGTTGCTGAGTCATTTAAATTGATTTTTAAAAAGACTTTATTTTTATTGAGTGTGAGTGAGTGTGTGTGTGTTTGCATGTGCTTAAGGAGGCCAGAAGAGATTTTGGGTTCCTTGTAGGTGTTTGTGAAGTACCTGATGTGGGTGCTGGGATTGGAACTCTTGTCTTTATCGAGGGTTCAGACAGGAGGCTTACAACAGGCAAGTTGGGGTTGGCTAAAAAGGTCTGATCTGAGGGCCAATGAATTGATACTTACTAGAAAGCATTTTGAGGTTGGAGAGATGGCTCAGTGGTTAAGGCTTGTGCTGTTTTTGCATAGTACTCCTAGTCCTGCCTTCCTTGCTTCCCTATTGGCCAACAGGGCTTTATTCATTAACCAATAACAGAAACATTTACAGAATAACACCACCTATTACTTGAATTCAGTTCCCAGCATCTATGTCAATAGGTGTACTGTTGTACCTTTTTTCTGGCCTCCATGGGCATTATCACACATATGCACATAAAAACATATAGACATATGTACATAAATAGAAATAAAATAAATATTAATAAAAGAAAGCATTCTATATTGTTCTATATTGTTCTTAATGTCTTGGGGGATTCATAGACCCATTAGAAGTTGACAAAAGTAATGGTTTCTCTAGAGAAATATACTCATACATACAAAGGCAGTTTTATAATTCCAGGGGAACCCTCAAAAGACCCATGGAATTTTGGTTGAGAACTTCTCTATTGAAAACTCAGGCAAGCTTCTGGTGTTCCTTGACAGAATATAGTATTTCTTGATTTTCAATATGTAGAGAGAAATACCTAACTCTAATTAGAGTCTGTGGATTCTGATTCACCTCTTGTAATGATGATTTTGTTTTGAATTTTGCTTCCTCTCTAGAATCTGGACCATAAGAATTGTGCTTATTTTCTTCTTTTCCAAGAGAACAGAGAGAAATAGTAAGTTTCTAAGTTCCAAATAATTTTTTATAGATATATGTTAAATAAGCAAACTCATTTTACTGTGTGATATTTTATAAGCCAGTTATGAAATGGTTTATGAGATCATAGTGTGGTATCAGAATTGTTTGCTGTATAATACAACAAAGTTTATATACGTAAGAAATTTCTATTTTTAATGTGTCAATTCTTAGATTTTTTATATAATTTTTTAAAAATAAAGGCAAGTTGTACTTATTAAATTAACCTTTGTGGGAAACAATATTGCTGATTAAAATATAGCATATATTTGTTCTTTTTATTCATTTTATTGTTAAATGTGTATGGGCATTTTACCTGTGTGTTTGTCTGTACTATATGTGTGCCGCTTGGTACCTGTGGATTTTAGGAGAGGCCACTGGTCCCCTGATTAAAGATGGTTATGAGTGTTCTAGGAATTGAACCTGGGACATCTCTCTAGCCTTCTGACTTTTCTTTTAACTATATTACTCTCACCAACCTCATAGCCATTTGGCTTTGTTTTAAGTGAAATATAAATATTCAGAAATCAGCTTCTGTGTATGTTTTACATATGTGCCAAGTTGTTATTTAGTATTTTTTTCTTATTTTACATATTCATTCTCTTTCCCTTCTACCTTCCCATGATCCTCACCAACCCCCCATCCCATCCCCTATCCACTCCCCAGGGATGGTGAGGCCATCCATAAGGGATCATCAAAATCTGTCAAGTCATTTGGGGTAGAGCCTAGGCCCTCCCCCATGTCTCTAGGCTAAGGGAGTATACCTCCGTGGGGAATGTGCTCCCAAAGTCCGTTCATGCACTAGGGATACATCCAGTTTCCACTGCCAGAGGTCCCATAGACTGCCCAGGTCTCCTAACTGAGACCCACATCCAGGCAAGTTTTAAAAGTTTTCAGGTCTTACAAAATGTCTTAATCAGTTATGTGTTTGTTTATTGAAGTTTTTTTTTTCATGCAGTATATTCTGTTTACTTTTTTCCCTCCCTGAACTTCTCCCAGATCCTCCCCACTTCCACACTACACCAACCCCACACTCCTTTTCTCTCTCTCTTTAGAAAAGAAATAGGCAATTAAAAAACAACCTGAGTAAGAAAAGCCAAAACAAAGAAAAATCACAAGAAACACATATACATACATTCAGATACATGCAAAAAACAAAATCCATAAAAACACAAAATTAAAAATCATATAAGCAAAAACCCATTAAGACCAAAAAAAATGTGTTCAAACAAAGCAAATAGGAGACATAAAGACTGGAAAAATACCTTTGAGTTAATTTTGTGTTGGCCAGATAGCAGTAGGTATGGGACCTGCCCTTAAGTGTGGTTAACATGCCCAATGAGATACCATTGGAGAAAACTAAGTTTTCCTTTGCAAGAGGATGTCATTTGCAGATAACTTTTTGGCTAGGGATGAGAGATTATATCCACTTGTACCTTCCAGCACTGGAACCATGTCTGGCTTGAATCTGTGCATGCTACACAAGTCTCTGTGAGTTTCTGTATTCATCCATCCTGTTCTGTCTGGAAGATACTGTTTCCTTAGTGTCACTCATCCCCTCTGGCTCTTACATTCTTTCCACTGCCTCTTCCTCATAGCTCTCTGATCACTGAGGGAAGGAGTTTGATGAAGACATCCTATTTAGGACTGTTCCAAATTCTCTCACTTTCTGAGTATTGTCTAGTTGTGAGTCTCTGTGTTAGTTCCCATCTACTACAAGAGAAAGCTTCTCTAATGATGGTTGAGTGAGGTAATGATCTATGGGTATGGGAGAATGTTATTAGGAGCCATTTTATTGTTATGGTGGTTCTCAACCTTCCTAATGCTGTGACCCCCTTAGTACTGTTCCTCATGTTGTGGTGAACCCTAAACATAAAATTATTTTTATTGCTACTTCATAATTGTAATTTTGCTTCTGTTATGAGTTGTAATGTAAATATCTGATATGCAGGATATCTGATATGTGACCCTGTGAAAGGCTCATTTGACTGCTAAAGGAGTTGGGACCCACAAGTTGAAAACCACTGTTTTAGCAGAACAATAGTATTTGGTTTTCTCCTAGGTCCATGGCATCTCAGGGTTTTGGCCCCCTGGGCAGTGTCAGACATGAGTTCCATCCTGTGGAGTGGGCCTTAAATCCAAGCAGAGAACAATTGGTTACTCCCACAACTTTTGTGCCATGATTGTACCAGCATGTTATGTAGACAGGTCACCATGTAGAATGCAGGGTTTGTAGCTGGATTGGTGTAGAGTGTCTTTCAGTACCTTGAGCACTAGTCTTTACTAGGGGTGAAGGCTCTAGCTAAGCATCAGTTTGACTTCTCTATGTTCAATACATTCATCTTAAACTAACTTTCCATTTTCTTTTCTTGTTTTTTTTCCCCATGTTCAAAGTTTAGTATTTTGAACTCTTGTATACATATAATCCTACTTAAACAGTTATCAACGCATGGTCTATCTTAATTTGATTTTTGCTTTCACCTTCACTGTTTATGTTATTTTGAAGTATATCTTTTAATAGAGTAATAAGAGTGTAATGTACTTACCATACTGAGAAATATTAACATAAAATATAAAAATATTAAATTCCCAGTAGTTTAAGAAGTGCTACTTTCTCTAAAAATACTTTCTTTGATTCAGTATATAAATAAGATTGTACAGATAGATGGCCTTTAAAATAGCCTCCTTGCATATGACCTCACTTCTCTCTGGTTTAGGATATGTGGTCTAGCCCAAATAACCACTTATTTTCAGTTACCTGTGATTTTTTTTTATCCCCATACTTTTCCTTATCCTAATTTATTTGGCATACCCTATCCTATTTAAATATAATTACATGCTTAATCTTCGACAAACACTTTTTGAATATACATTTTTTTACTTAAAAAGTTTTATTTTATACACACACACACACACCTGCCTGTATGTATTTATATGCCACATATATGTAGTACAAGTGTACTGGAGGCTAGAAGAGGGCATTGGATCATTGTAACTGGAGTTACAGTGGTTGTGAATTATCCAGTATGGGTGTTTGGAATCAAACTCTAGTCCAGTGTAAGAGCAGCAAGTGTTCTGCAACTGCTGAGCCATCTCTTCAGGTCCTTAAATACACTAAACTTAAATCTGGTTATCAAATCCAATGTGTATTGATAATTGTTATATAGTACTATTATTATTCCCTGGTAAATTTAGTCTTTTCTTAAAAAAACTACATTATCTATTTATTGTATTTGTGTGTAGGCACATGGTGTGTATATGTGCCATACTGTACTTATGGAGGCCACAGAACAACTTGTGAAAGTTACTTATTCTTATAATTATTTCTACAGAAAAACTGCAAACTTAATACATTTGTAAAGGGATTCCTTTTTTGCTAAGGTTTTATTTAATGTGCGTGTGTTTTGCCTGCATGTATGTGCAGCACTAGTGCCTGGTGCCTGTGGAGGTTAGAAGGAGGGTGTCAGATCCCCTGGAACTGGAATTATGGATAGTGGTGAGCTATCATGTGGGTGCTGGGAAGTGAATCTGGGTCATCTGCAAGAGCAAAAGTGCCCTTAATCTCTGAGCCATCTCTGCAACCCCACTTTTATTTTTCTAAAATTATTTATTTTTATTTAAAATTGTATTGTTTTTGGGACAGAGTTTCATTATATAGCTCTGGCACCTAGAAATCTTGTGTAGTCCAGGCTGGCCTTGAACTGACAGAAATCTGTCTCTGCCTCTCCCTAGGATTAAAAGTGTACATTACCATGCCTGGCTCAAGGGATATCTTTGAAATGATTCTTCATGTTCCATTATCCCCACTTAAATATGCTTGCAAATTTTAGAAATCTTTGATTTTGATAAGCTACTGATATCCCTTTGTAAATTTCTTCTCACATATAATGATTTTCAAAAGTTAGTTATTAAAATAAGTAACATACTTCTCGTAAACAAAATATTTTTTACTAGTATATAAAAGGAGATTTGGTATTTACAAATTAATGTGAGTGGAATGTTGAAAACAAACTAAAAGTGTTGTTTCTGAAAATACTAAGAATTTTGTCTAGGGGCTGGAGAGATGGTTTAGCTATTAGGAGCACTGGCTGCTCTTCCAGAGGACCCAGGTTCAATTCCCAGCACCCACATGACAGGTCATAACTGACTGTAACTCCATTTACAAGGGATCTGACACCCTCACGCAGACATGCATGCAGGCAAAACACCAATGCACATAAAGTAAAAATAATACATTATTAAAAAGTTTGTCTGTATAAAGTCCATTTAAATTTTTCCTGAATCTTGAAATATATAATACAGGAAGACTATGAAATATATGGGTTAACATTAAGATAATTTTTGTTTCTACAATAGGTGATAAATTTAGAGAAATCATAAACATTTTCTTGTTTCCTTCATGTATATTATTTATAATGATTGAGTCTCATATCTAAGCAACTTAATATTTGATTTGGCTTTGATTTATATCTTGTTTTCTAGATGAAGCATTGGATGATTTAAAATCCCAGAAGAAAAAGATAGTAAGTTAATTTTTATTTAAAGTTAATTTATATAAATAAGTTAAGAACTGGATAATTAATGTTTATATATTATACCTTAGTGACTCTCCAAGGAACACTTTAGAAAGTATTTTAATGTTGAAATTACTATGAATTTTTTTAGTTTAATAATAATATACAGGAAAAAGTTGGTTAGGTATGTGAAGTTTTGAGATTGAGAATTTATGTTAACTGAAAGCTGAGACGTAAGCAGATAATTCATATTGAACTAAATGAGGCAGAGAGGGTATGAAGGTGAATACCCAGATTGTTTATTAGAGCCCCAAATGGGGGAAATGTATACTTGTGTTAATTCTTATGTTTCCTTAGTACCATGAGACAGATGGGGGGAGTGAAATATTAATATTAGTTGTGAGAGACAAATTCAACAGAAAAGACTGAAACAAGAGGGAATACGATTTTTCACAGCATCTTTTAGTTAACCCCAGCAATGGTGAGCACATGGGTCCCTGTTGTGAGGCCAATTAGTGAATGCTTTGGGTGTTTGGGAAGAGTTCTAGAGTGAGAAAAAGGGCTGGGCTGCTCAGAGGTCGGCATGTGAAAGTCTGTATACGTGAGTGGATCTTGAGGTTTGTCTTAGCGGCTTCACACATTTTCTAGTATTAAAGTGTGGAAATGGTGGTGATTGCTGACAGTATGATGTTTTGTAGAAGCTAATAAAATGAAATTTAGTTAAGTGTTCAAGTATATATGGTGTGTTTAATGTATTTTTGTCTAGTGTCTAATAAGTTGTGTTCATTTTCTGTTGCTGTGACAAATAACTGCAGTATTCAACTGAATCTGATGACAATGTACTTTGGTTCCTGGCCTTAAAGATTTCAGCCCTTGATCACTTGCCCGTGGTAGAACAGTACCTCATGATGGGTGCATATTGTATGAAAATGATTTTAAGTAAAAATTAAAAAATTTAAAGGGGAATGGGTTTGTACCTATTAGTGCTTTACAAATTGTTTAAGATAAATGGAACACAGACATATAAATGAATACTTAAGGCTGACTGATCTACTAGGAATTGCAGTTGTTGAAATAGCATTTTGACTTTGAGTTCTCGTTAAACATTACAGCTGTATCTGGTCTTTTTGAACTTTTAAAACATTTTTATCTTTTGGAAACTTTGACTGCATATATTCATTATACTGTCGTACATACGGACATATGCTTGCAAGCATGTATTGTGTATTGAGCCAATTCTCATATCTCCCTGCTCTCCCCATTCCCATTAGTCCCCTTTGTTTCCATAGACAGCTTCACTTTTTCTTCATGTCATGTATGTATACATGGTTTTGTGTGTGTGTAAAATCTAATAACCACATAGTGGCTAATAGCCAAGACTGGATTAATTTTCTTAATATACCAGTCTTTGTAAACCCAGCAGTAGGTTTCATCTGTATCTATGCCGGCCAAATTAGTAGTTTCTTGCCACATTGACCATTTATATTTCATTATTTATCCTGAAATAAAACTCTAAATTTAATTTGTAGGCCACAAAGAAATATTTTAAGTGCTCTCACTTAACCATATTCATCTTAGTGACTTTTTCATTGTGCCAGTGTAGAGCATTTCTATTACCACCGAGAGTTCTGTTGTGTAACAGTTCTAAAAGTTATTAGTTATTCCATGATGACATTGATTTGGGGATGTATTCCATGATATTCTTTCTCTTCCTCATCCCTAATTTTTCACTAGTTCAAAATGAATTTTATATCATAAAATTCAACTTGCTTGAGAATTTATTATAGTTTTGAAATAATTAGTCAACTATTTTAGTTTTACTAAATTGAGAATTATAAATTATCTAAGGACTTAGCTTGTTAAATGTTGAATATTTAACGGGGGATCTATTAGCTTCTATTGTGGTGTATTTCTTTTAAAACTACATTTTAACTAAGTAAAACAAGTGTCCTTGGAATGAACATGATATATGATTATAAGTGGTCATTAGTCACTGAGAAGGAAAATGTCCTGTTCCATCTTTTTCCCAGAGCATTTCATATTAAACCTTAGTTATTTGTCATAATTGACTGTCTTATACTGCATTTCAACTTTTTCTGCTGAAATATGTTGCCAGTGGTTACTTTTAATATTGAACCCCCCTGTATTAGGTTATAAAGTGGCGTGAGAGCATTGTAAATAAAGTGCTATAGCAATGAAGTCCTTTAATTACAGTCCCTAACGTGAGCATAAATCTTAGTAAAAATTTTACTTAAATTTTGTGTTTGGTCTTTCTTCTAAAGCTGTTTGAATCTAAGTAAAAAAAGACCGAGGGGGAGGATGCTAGCTTTTTGAGTCACTTGAGCAAATTCCATGCTGTTCTCCCAGTTAGTGAGTTTTCACTGCATTTGCAGCAAGCTAATTGCTTCTGCTAATAAATAATCTAAAATCGATGCTGACAGCACTTAATTGGCACAGAGATTTTATTTTGTAAAGCTCTTGGCTAACGACCTTCTTAAATTAATAGCATTAAGTGCTATGAGGAAATAAATCTGAGGAATTGCCTGTCATTTGCTTGTCATGTCTAATAACTTCCAATAATGATGGCTGATAGATTTTTGCACATTCCATTATTGAAGTTGGTGCATGTAATTATTCTCCTCATTATATGTAAACAATTAACGATATTTGGTATTTCATTGCAGTAAAGCTGCTAAAATACAAGCAGTGTATTAGAGGTTAGAAACTATTTTATGAGCTTAGTTTTTAATTATTTGATTATAGGTAATCTTTCTATTTAGATATATTTGCTGAATATAAGTACAAATAGAAGAGGATGACTTTATTTTTCTTAATTCCAAGATTGATACTTTAATGCTTTTTGAGTAAGATTTATAAAAATAAGTAGTATATATTTCAAAATATAATAATTTATGGAAATTTTTGTTTGTAGCTTGAAGAAGTCATGGAAAAAGAAACTTATAAGACAGCTAAGTTAATTCTGGAAAGATTTGATCCAGACTCAAAGAAAGCAAAGGTAAAATTGTGACACTACTGTTTTATCATTACAACTTATACTTAGGGACTGTATAATTTAAACTTTATTGTAATTGACAGGAGTTTGAGCCGCCATCTGCTGGAGCAGCTGTAACTGCAAAACCAGGACAAGGTAAATAACTTTGTAGAAACTGCTGCTGCTGTTGGAAAGATCCATATTTATACAAGTGAGTTCACAAGTGTGTGTTGGTGATGTGTAAAAAGTTAAATACTTTTATGTTAATTTTTACTTGGTAATCTGACATGACATATACGGTAAATAACAATAATTTTGTTTTTATTTTATGGGGATATATTGATAGGTTTGAATATTGAATATTTATTGAGATTAAAATATATAATTGGGTCGAAGCTTGAAATTTATTTTAACATATATTTTAAGAACTTTTTCCCATGCAAATAATAATCTTTGGAATATCTGTTATTAATATCTTTTCATTTTAATGATTTCTGGTTGGAGAATGAAGAGTTTTGTGAGGGTTAAAGTTTGTTCTAAAATAACACACTTAATTTAAAAAGTAAAACAATTTAAAACTGAAAAAGAATTGAATATGTATGAAAAATTTTAATATAGTTTATATAGAAATATATAGAAAGAAAAATTTCTTATAACAACAGTTTTGAGTTGTGTTACCTACCATACCGTCATCACCATTATTTACTATATAAAATCTCAAGTAATTTTATTTTTATTGTGAATTGTTTAAATTCAGTTTATTATTATTGTGCATGATGTGTGTATGTGTGTGAGTGGGGAATGTGTGCCAGGGCTTTCGTGCAGAGGTCAGAGGGTGACTATGGAGTTGACTCAGTCCTTCCACTTCTGTTAGTTTAGGCATAATCCTCCCACTTCTACGTGGGTCACAGGGACTGAACTCAGGTTCTCGGGCATATGGGCTAAGTGCCTTCACTGATTGATATAAAATATCTCCTAAAGTGGAATGTGAAAATATTTTGAGCTTGCATTAGTTCTTTATTTTTTGTATTTTTTTCACTAGAATCTGATTAAATTTTTTTAAGATTTGTGGCATTGAAGAACATAAAATACATAGAAAACTGTAACTCTTATCCTTGCAGGATTGAAGCTGGTTTTAAAGTTACAATACCATTTATACGTTTGAGAAGGGAATCTTATAAATCTTATAAATATCCACATGAACTGTGAAGATTAAACGAGTCACATTTTTAGGTTTTCTAATTGGTATTACTGTGTGAGAAGAATTCACTTTATAACTAGGATTTTTGGTTAGAGAAATATTATCTTGTTCTTTTCTTTATTTTTTTCTCACTGCTTTTTTGGTAAAAGTAAAAGTTCACATGTGATTAAAGTTACATATATGTGTTTCTATGGCAATTCCCATATCCATAATCAGTATTAAGTTTTTCTATCATTTAAAAATTTGTTAAGCGACCATAGAAAAGTTTTGTTATATGTAAAACATTTTTATGTATATACATTTGAGAAGTACTGAATTCATAGAAGTAGAGAGTAAAATTGTTGCTTCCAGATATAGAGTGGTAATGGGAGCAATAGGGAGATATTGGTTAAAGAATAGAGAGTTTTTGTTATGTAGATAGTATAACACCTAGACAGCTAATGTACAGTATACTGACTATAGTTAATAATGCTGTATTGGTTACTTGAAATTTGCAAAGAGTGGATTTTATATGTTCTCTCCACATACAGCAAAACTGGTATGATGGATATGGCTAATATAGGAATCATTTAACAATGTGTAAGAAATTCTTTGCATAAGTAGTAACACTAGTAAATATGTTTTTTAGTGTGGTATTTTACAGAAAACTGTGACTATTACTTTCCTAGGTATTTTAGTATTTAAAGTAAGTTATTTTAAATTTTAAATGTTTCCTAGAAACTTTTGAGACCCAAATAAGATTTTTCTTCTGACACCATATCATAATTTTAGAAAAGCTGCTACTAATTTCATTTGCTTTGGATACTTGTACTGCTTTTGGATAGTCTTAGAGTGAATTAATATTTAGCTATATTGTGGTCAGTCATTTAGAAAATGTATTTCAAGAGCAGGCAAGCTGACTCTGTGGGTACAGGCATTTGCTGCCAAGTGTGATGACTTACTTGAGTTCTACCCCCAGGGTCCACATGTAGGACTCCTGCAAGTTGTCCTCTGACATCCACATGTGAACCATGCCACACAGGCACACACTGCTCTCCCTCTAGTTAATAAAGACATTTACTTAAAATGTATGAATACTTACAGGCACATACCTTGGAGAATAAAGAGATGAGGGTATCATTTTTAAACTTGAACAACATTTATAACTCTCTCTCACTCTCTCTCTGTGTCCTCTTGTATGAACAGTTACACATTCATGTGTTTGCAAATGCGTGTGGGTGGAGTGGGTGGAGGATGGGGACACCCTCATGCTGTCACTTCAGGTGCTGTTTGCTTTCTTGTTGAGGAAGAGTCTTTCATTTCACTATAGCTCTCCAAGCAGGCTAAGGTGTCTAGCTCTGGCTCACAACCTAGAGACTGCATGTCTCTGCTTCCCCATACTGGCTTACAAGGGGAAACTCAGGTCTGGGCTTTAATTTTTTTGGGTTCTGGGGACTGAACTCGGGTCCTGCTACTTGCATGACAAACATTTTATGATTGAGTCATTTTCCCAGTCCCATCTCCCTCAAAAACTTAAAAATTTAAATAAAAAATAAATATTTCTTCCTAGAAGATCTTACTCTTTTTGGCATGTGATTGCTGTTTTGATTTTTTCTTAACATTTAAAAAGTTAAATTATGTTATAATTTTATCCTACCTTTTCAGAATTACATCTTAGTTCTGTTTAATCTTATTCAGTATCTTTTAGTTTCATATATGTGTTTACTGGAGACAGGGTCTCACTCTGTAGCCCAGACTAATCTGGAACTGTTGCGGCTGTCCTGCCACAGACTCCTGAGTGCTGGGATTGCAGGTGTGTGTCACCTTTCTAGCTTCCTGTGGTTTTCTATAGGTGACGGTCAAATAGTCATTGATTTTATGTTTGTGTTCTGAGTTTGATTAACAAAATGTGAGGTAAAGTACTAAATATGTATATTGCATTCAGATATGTCCCTTGAAAACAAATCTGCTCTCCAAAAGGATTTTGGAGGGTCTATTTTGCTAGCTCTCTTATAAATTGCTGAACTGCAAAAACTAATGCATGTATAATAGATACCTTTATTTTATGTAACTGTGTTATTAGTGATATTTACTATACTTAGACTGATTACAAATTTTGAGGATAATATTGTTTGATTTGCCTAGGGTTCATGTTAAAAGAAATATCATGCTTACTGGATGATTAACCCATCTTCCCTGACATTCTCTTTCAGTTGCAAGTAGATTTCAGTATTTTTTTAAAGAACAGCTTTGATTTATAGACAAATGTCAGACAGTGTAGAGTTCCTGTTTGTTTTTGTACCAAGTTTCTCCTGTTACCATAATGAGAAGGTATGTGTGTAGCCACGTGGTATGTACATGTTGTTGACTGAAGGCTGTTCTGTACCCTTGTATGTTCTATGACAACATTTGTGTTCTGTGTTATGTTGGTTGTCTTTTCTCAGACTGCTTTTAACTGGAATGGTTTTTGGACTTTTCTTTATTTTTGATGACTTTGAAAGATCGTTCTCTAACATTTTTTTGGTAAGGAAATTTTAGAGTATTTAATCTTAAAAATAAGTGGTTATCATTTGATATGAAGGAATAAGCATATTAAGTAGGGATCTGTGTGTATACACATTGAATAGAACCATTTGCTGCTTAGATTCTTGTATTATCATGGACTAGAAGATGGAAAGATTTTTGTCTTATTCTATTAAAAAGCAATAAAGCTTGGACAGAAATATAAAATGAAATTTGCCACAGTATAAACTTCTGAGTACTCTCTATATCATATAGAAATATAAGTATTTGGGAATGATGAAAAATTAAATTTCTCTGAAGATTTTAATTATACAGAACTATGTTTTTCAAGGACTAAACTTTTTCATTTTTGAGATCTTGAAGTTCAGGACTATATTTAATTCTAATATACTGTCCTAGGGTTACTATTACTAAGATGAAATAGCATTGTACATTGGCGAGAAATGGGTTTATTTTCATTTGGCTTATACTTCCACATCTCTATTTATCATCAAAGGAATTCGGACAGGAGCTCAAACAAGGTCAGAACCTGGATGCAGGAGTTGATGCAGAGGCCATGGAGGGGTGCTATTTCTGACTTGCCCCTCATGGCTTGCTCAGACTGCTTTCTTATAGAACTCAGCCCAGGGGTAGCACCATCCACAATGGTCTGGGACCTCCATTGATCACCAATTAAGAAAATACTGTACAGGTTTGCCCATAACCTGATTGTATGGAGGCATTTTCTCAATTAGGTTTTTTCCTCTAAAATGACTTTAGCTTGTGTTAAGTTGTCATAAAACTATCCAGAATATGTACTAATGCCTACCTTTCTTTCAACAAGTGTTTACTGAGTGTCTGCTTGCTACAAGAGATTTTAGGCATACAATAATGGACAAGAATCACAAATTCTTTCTGTTTTCCAAGTTGTAAAGGGTTAGACAATAAGTTAGAATTAGGTAGAGTAAAATAAAGGATGATGAGTAGGAAGTACCTACAAGGGAGGGCAGATTGTAGTTTTACTAAGCAGAGTTGCTAGGGAAGATCTTGATAAGATTTTCTTTAACTCCTATTCTAGTGTTGAAGCAAAAAATCCAGGAGAGTTTGGAGCCCAGACCATAAGTGAGGAGGATGTTTCTAGGTAGTGATCATTTGTGATAAATGCTGCTGTCAAGATTAGTGTTAAAAACTGATCATTTATTTTAGATATCAGTATTGAGGTTCTTGGTAACTTTGAAAAGAACATTTTGATAGAGGGATAGGGCAATCATAAAGGGTGGGAGTGGAGAAGTTATAGACAATGGAAAGAGACAGCTCCTTTGAGTAAAATAGTATAGAAATGTATGGCTGAAGAGAGGGAAGCATTTTGAGTAAACAGCCCAGCATATTGCATCAAATAAACATAAAAGAAATGCTGAGGAGACATTGAAATAAGTGATGACAATAGAGAAAAAGAAGATAGTTAGTTGAATAT